ATAATCACATTTTGCCTCATTTCTTACAAAGGGGCATTATAACGCAAACGTTAAGCTTTACAAAGTCATTTAGAGCAACTTGCAAACCACCAGACCGCCCACTCTGCCTTCCTCTGCTCCCACTTACGCTGGGAGAAATCCGGAATAACCCAGCCGATCTCAGTAGAGATTTGTCACTCCGAAAGACACCAGCGCGAGTCACAGATTTTCTAACTTTGGTTTGGATGAAAACCCAGGACTCGCTCATCGTATCTCAGGGTATTTAGCATTGACTTCAATTAAAAAAACCTCCCCGCCGTGCCAAAAAAGCATGCAGCTGCAAACTTCCGCGTTCAGCGCGCAACGCGTCGCTTGAAAAAACTGCGACGCTACATTCACAGCCGGAGGTAGATGCACAAAGTAGGACCTGCTTGTAAAATCGCCTCTCGTGCTGCAAACTCTCTCTCTCTGCACTGCCCCAATTTACCACAGTGCAAAAAAACCCACAGTCAAATCAATATATTCTTGGGAAGGAAGGGGGCTGGTCGAGTGGTTTTTGAAGGCAAGCCAGAGAATATTCTAAACGGGGGACACACAGCCTGTTTTAACTGCTGTGATAATTCTGCATAAAGAGATGTTAAGGAGCTAGCTCCTTGCTGTAGCATGCCATGTGTCCCTGAATAAAATTACTGCCATGCAGGCTGTTAGCAGAGGAATGCGTAAACAGACAATGTATCCTTGCATCAGTTCCACAAAATGTTGCACAACACAAATGCCTCTCGATGTGTCATTTCCTGCTTGGCCACCAGCCCAGCTCCTGACAGGCAGTCAACAAAAAAAAAAAAAAAAAAAAAAAGAAAAAAAAAAGAGAAAAAAAATAATAAAAAAACCCCCAAACTGAAAGATTTAAAGCTGTTCTACTCCAAAGCACATTCCACTAGCTCCAGACTTACCCCTCCACCCTCCGCCTCTGAAAGAAAAGAGGGAGAACTTCCTAAAAACTGGTATGGTTTTAAGTCGAGGAATCTCAAAAATCTCAATCACTTATCTAGGTTTTATAAGTCAGGTCGGCCAAACTGTTAATAGAAAGGCTGAGCAGAAGCTCTCGCTGGCTGTCGCTGGCTTCTGCAGCGTGCACAGACAAAAAGGCGATGTTTGCTCATACCTTTCATCACGTGTGCACCTTGCGAGCTGCACCAGCAGAGAAATGGTCAGGAGCTGAATGAAATGGAGCAATTTTTCTCCCACCGAAATGCTTCAGTTCAAAGCTCACCACCACTTCTCCATTCAAGCCGATAAGAGAAAATTGTGGTCGGTGACTTTGGAGACTACCTTTAATTAGAGACGAACTAAAGTCTCTGGAAGCCAGGCAAAATGTAAAAATACCTAGACTTCTCCTCCCTCCTTCCTCATGATTTCCCTCCTCACTGAGTTTCTACCAAGAGCAGCCAGGAAGGAGGACACGTCTCCTAAAGGTGCCACTATGGAAGGGCGAGTCATTATTTCTGTATTTGCATTGAGGTAAGGCAAAGGCATTAAAGGGGGGGATTAGGTAAAGGTTTGGGGTTTTTTTATTCTGTTTTTTCCTTCTTTTAATTCCTTTACAGTGATCTCCTGCTATCTTTCAGTCAGTTATGACCTCATGGCAACTTTTTTCTCCAGAAAACTTCTTTCAGCCCTCCCAGCTGGAAGGCAGCTCTGCTGGCTAAGACGTGCATATGGCAGAGGTTTTAGCCTGGATATGAGGAGAGAAAAATATCTGCAGGATTTCCCAATGATTCCCAAAGATCTTATACAACCCTGTCTCTAGACTCCATTGCTCGGAGCGCAATGCGCTGTCTCAATCCAGCATGAAGACTGTGCAACACGGTAGTTGTCCCTGGATGGTAATCTAGACAGACTGAAATAGATAATTAACAAGAAATAAATCTTTCTCAAGGAAAAATCATCAGAAGACCTTTTCTCGTATAGAAATGGGCAGGTTTTCCTCACAGAGCAACCTGACATCACTGTCTCTATTAAAATATTTTAAAATAATAACAGAGAGGTAAGGCAGCAAGCTTCTACAGGCATATGTTTAATAGGACTAAGTGGCACTTACATTTAAGAACCTGACTTTCTGAAGTGCTGAGCATCCAGAACACCAACTGGAGTCACTGCATGCCATGACTGTTCAGCCCTCTTAAAGTCAGGCTCTAAATGATTGCGATAGCTGTCACGGTATTGCTGCTGCTCCTACTGCTGCTGGAAAGCACGCAGCATTCGTTCGCTCGAGTCAACTTGCCAACGGAAGGTCAGAGTGCCTTGCCTATAAACAAGCCTTACAAATTCACGATCTAAAGCATGATGTCATGTCTTAAAATGATAAGCTGGCAACAAAGTAAATGACATTTTGTAAAGATGTGCATAATTTTATGTTTACGCTACTTAGAATGAAGGTTCTAATAAGTCATCGGTTGTGTTCCTTTAAAGGGAAGTTTTATAACTGAGATGAATCACAACTGCAAAAGATCAAAGTTAAAAAACATCAATGATGCCATGGGGTACTTTTTAATCTTGTAATGAATGATGATCATGTGCTCTTATGAAGTTGGTCCAACTGCCAACGCCAGATGTGTATATTAAGAAAAAAGTTGTTTGTGATGTGACAGCTCTGGTTGAGCTGCCAGAGAGAGGAAAACTAGGATAACATGCTTGAGATGTCGAAGTGAAATACAGATCCTGGCAGAGAAGGGCCCTATTTGCCGATACATAATTTGTTAAGAAAAACACATTTGCTATCAGAGCCGCTCGTTGACTTGAATTCCTTATTGCCCCCAACCACCTCGTTTTCCTTATGCGACGCAAATGCCAGATACACTTCTTGAACGATTACTACCAAACAGTAATAAATCTACATGAGTGCAGGGGCTCTCAGAAGGAAGCAGAACTTCAGCGGAACTCCCGCAGCTCACTGGCGCTACTCTCTCCCTGAAAATTCAAGTTGAATAACTAGTCATTCTGGAGGTGTCGTAGCCTTGAAAGCATCAGACTGCAATAACAGAACGTGCAGAACCAAACGGACCCCAGAGTGGAGCTTCACTAAATATTTAGCCAAAATATTAAAATTCAAATGGACATTCAGTTCAAATTTGGCTTGCTCAAAAAGAAAACATTAAGAAAGACACAATAATTCCATCTAGGCTATAAGAACTAAGTTACTGAGCATTCCTAGCTTCAGAATAGCAGACAGGTTATCACGGACAGAGGCCTTTCCGGTCTAAACGAAAAAAATTCCAGCAGAACTTGGAAATCTTAGTAAGTCATGTGAACACAGCCTCCCTCTTAATCCACTGATCACCAACATGGTTAGTCCCAGCACAAGCAGGTTCCCTTTCTGTGCTACACGGGGTAGTCTACGCTATTCTCTGCATCATTTGCAAACCGCTCTGCTCTCTCACAGCAGTTGTGTCCTCTGCTGGGAGATTTCTTCTTTTGCAGATTCCTCAGTACATACATGGAAGCAGCTTCCAAATGGGAATGGCTAAATGATGTATAATTTATTCCCTAGTTTTTACTCCATGAATGCAGTTTGCCCAGTTTTTCCAAGTACAGCTACATGGAGCACCAGCTGCAGGTGAAAATTAAAAATGGGAACTGATTCAGCTCGGGAGAGAAGACAGAACAAAAGTCCCCTTGCCGGGACAGACGGACACCTCAGCTGTGAGCAGGTAGCAACGCAAATAATCTACGTAATGAAATTTATCCATAGCTACTTGCTTTTTCTTATCTGTTATTTAAGGTGAAACTCTCCAGCCTGGACAGTCCTTACAGAAGGCACTTCAGTCCCCGTCTCTCAGTGTAGGAGGAGGTGACACCACAGCGTGCATTAGCACGAGAAGCACTTAACTGTCTTTCTACTTCTGTCTTTGTGGTATTTTAAACAAAACTCTGTGAAAGCTCCTTAAAGGTCTCATTTGTATGTGCAGATCAAAGGCAAAATAATTTTTTGAGATGCTTCCACTACAGGGGTTTTTTTAATGTGGTTATTTATCAAATAATTCTTAATCTCTAAATGTAATTTAAATACAGCTGTACCTGGTTAATCCAATCGATTTAGAAAGAGTCATTCTAGTTAGATTAAGAAAAAACTCCAAAACAGGATCATCAGCGATACTCATATGATGTGAGACTGGTTACCAGCTAAGTGTGCTAGACAGAGAGACAGCCGTATAAATCATGATGGATTAACCAGACTTGACTGTATCTAAAAATAAGTGCAACCCATAAAACTGCTAGAATGTGACAAAACACAATTGTCGTACAACATAGCCCGCGAGCATTGCAAATAGATTCTCGGTAAGTTAGGAAGTGCTATGAGGTAAACATGCTGAGTGAAAATCTGCTGGACTAGGTTTAAATAAAATGTGGGTTCTGTGCACAAATAAGAAACAAAGACCACGCTGTCGATATACTGGTTTTTTATCTTTCTTTGGCCCTCAGGGGTCTACGATGAGTCCATAGCTGAAAACCAATTTCAGGTATGATGAGATTAACCAGGTGCATTAATTATCTGATGGCAAAAGAATTTAAGGGCAAACAAAAAGGCACTATATGATATAATTTCTCTCTGCGCTAGGACTGATCCTGAAAGAACACTCTCCTATTTTGTTCTGAACGTCTTTAGTTGGAAGCTTATGGGAGTTTAGGGAATTCAGCACGTTGCCGGACTGTATCTATTATGCCTAAATCAGATTATATATAAATATAGTGGGTTTAGTTCTCATTTACACTGGCAGATAATGTATCAAGACCTTGATGTGAATGAGAATCAGGTTTGTGATTGCCCACGTTCAGCCAAGCACTTAAGTGTGTGTTTAATGCAAGTATGTGTGTGGTCCAATAGACTCCAAATTAAGCATGCGCTTACAGATTTTGCTGAGCAAGAACCAGTGTTTGACAAACATATATATTTCATTTATGGGTCTCTGTTAAACAAAATTAAGCAGACGTAAGTGCAAAAATAAGAATATAATACTCACTTCTTGGCTCCCTTGGCCCATCCACCGTAACCTTTATAGCTCTGTGGTATGTAGCGACTTGGGGGGGATTTGTCAGGACAGTTATTGTCAAAGTAAAGCTCTTCCCTACAAAGGGAAAAAAACAACAAGGAATGAGTGATTACAACACGAAAACAGTCACATGCATGTTCAGTAAAGAATCAGAGAAGTTTAAAATTATTCCCTGTTGTTACCACAATCGTGAAAATTAAAAACATAACTGACCATAGGAGTTTTCCTCCCCTTCAGTTTTACTCTATGTCAAGAATATGTCCATGTGTTGACAATCTAAATGTTCCTTATTTAATAATGGGTCATCATACAATGACAGAACAAAATTGATTCACTGCTGAGGACAAGCCAAATTCTTTGCTGTATTGAAAGTGGTGTAAATCCAAAGCAAGTCAGATAATTCAAAAATTTACTCCAGTTTTGCAGCTGTGTGACAGAGAGCAGAATGTGGCCACATGTTATTTACTTCACACAGTTTTATCATTTCATTTGTTTGACTTGACTACAATAAGATGAGGAAAGAATATTTTCCTCCTGGGAGTCATTTTGACTGGGAATCCGTGTCTCCTGTCCTTCATATGCCAGGGGTAATATGATGGTATCATTCTTACTGGAACAGACTTTTTTTC